CACAAAGTAACAAATTTACCTAAAATTAAGCTTATCAATTTAATTCACAAAGTAATAGTTTTTTCCTTTCAAATCAATGTGATGCAACAATTCTGTAAATTTCTAAATTCTTCACATGTACAATTATTACGTCATTTAATTCATCAAGATACTGCCAAAAGGTTTGAAGATTTTGAATTTTGATATGATATTATTATTTGCAATCGCCTACCCGAGTTTATCAAAATTTGATTTTCCCTAAATAGTTACTAATGTTCACAAATATTGTAACACCTGATCTTGAATTTAAAAGTCTGAACTTGCCTTTCCTCAATTATCCAAGCATAGAGGTCGGGTTTTTAGGTACAGATCAGGCTCGACGTCATGAGAACGAAACCCTTATCTCATCTCACACCTTCTAGAAACATCAATCCCACCATGACTATAACTATTATAACCTTATCCTCATCCAAATTACTCACCTATTAGAGTTCGTTTCAAACTCAAATAGAACACTTTCAATATCACATGAAAGAGCGTGATAAGTATAAGGGTTATAGGTGGTTAGATCCTTTTAGAAATCTATCATCGACATTTATAAATACATGACCAAAATTCATATATTACACAAAATTACTACATGATTATATGCCACATAAAAACGCGAGATTTGAAAATTGCCGTTAATACCTCGGTGTAGGTCTGGGATAATCCTTTGTTCCATAGCCCTGGGGCTATTTACAACTAGCCAATTAAAAATTCTCAGATGTACTAGCACACTTTTTCTCCTGAATCTATTACAGGAAAGGGATACTGTGCAACTTCGAGTTGTCAATTATATATTTTATGGAAATGACAAACCAATTCGAGGAATTTCTGATACAGATATTCAATTAGTTTGGACTTGTTTAGTATTGAATTGGGATCAAGACACAAATAATAATAATAATAATAATAATAATAATAATAATAATAATAATAAATAAGTAAATAAATAAATTCTTCTAGTTAATAAGTACTCTCATGTATAGAGTGAATGAAGAAAATTAATAAAATATCATTCAGAAAATTGGTAGGTCAAGTGACCCACCATGAGCCACCTTGCGTCCGCTCATGCCTTTGGACAATGTTTTAAAAAACGTAAAGCATGGTTAGACATGAAGTTGAAGTTTCAAGTTTTACGAGCTTAAGCGAGCTTAGATGATGATTAGACGTATAAAAATATTTTCTAATACTATTTTAAATTTTTAATCATTCTAAAAATTATTTAATAATTAAAATACATATTTGACATTTAAAGTTATAAAATACAATATTTAATTAATAACTCATGCCATCAGTCAATTACACAATTTTCAAGTTCTCGAAATACAAAAATTAGAATATTTTTTATAGTTTCAATTTCAACGAGTTAAGCTCTACAATGTATATTTATATGAACTTCATACATGTTTTTGGAATTTCTAATAAAATGACATTATAACTTAAAATCTTATTTAACTATTTAGATGAATTCATTTTTAACTTTTGTACAGACTTCAAGTTAAAGTCTAATGAAAGTTTAGGCTTTTTTTTTTTTTTTTTTTTTTTTAAAAAAAATTAACTTAAAATCAAATAAAAAACTTTTAAAAAAATTAATAAAGCATGTCTACGAAAGACAAAAAGAAATGAAGGAAAAAATTCAGCCATTTAGAAATTAAAAAAAAAAAAAAAGTGTCTAGGCCTGAAGCGAAGCTTTTTGCACAATCTTCAAGCCTAGATGGTGCATAGGCTCTACCAAAGTGAGCTTTTTAGAAAATTGCCTTTGGAAGATAAATGAGAGCCAATAATAACAAAAATATTTTTTTTTCGCCCATGCTGATAAGCCGAGTGAAAAGGGCAATTAGAGAGGGGGGGGAAAAAAAAACCCAACTGCAAGGGCCAAGAGGAGAGCCAATATGAGAACAGTGAAAGAAAACAAAAGAAATTTAAAAAGGTTTTCTGGGCAGAGAAAACAGAAGGGGAAAAAAGTGAAAAAAATAAAAAATAAGATGAGAGAGAAACGGAAGTGGAGAACTAAACCCTTGTTTGAGCTCTCTTTTAATGCATTTTTAAGTTAAATATATTTTCAATAATAATTTTTTGAAGAATGTGTAAGGGTAAAAAAAAAAAAAAAAAGTGTTTACGTATAATATTCTTTTATTAAAGAATCTACAATTAAAAAAACAGAAAGAAAAAGATATATTAAAATTAAAATAAAGCCCAAACAGGGGCTAAATGCATTTATACAAATTAGAGGGTCAATTGAGTGGGTCCTAAAGTTAACATGTAAATAAACAAGTGACTAGTGTAATAAATAACTAGAAATATTTTGATTCAACACAAAAATAGGAGTTGCAGCAGGTATTGAAATGACTATAATGTGCAATGTTTCTCATTCCAAATATATCTATTACTGGGACACTTCGTGTTCATGCCTGACACGTGTCAAATACTATACCACACAGGGCGCTTAAATCATTTGATGAAACATTATAAGTTATAACAAGAAGGAGGTGAACTTTATTTCAGGAAATTTAAGAAAGTCGGGGGGGTACACATAAAAGTAAAGCATTTGACACCACACAGTAAAGAGTTCACTCAGGACATGTGAGCAAAGAAATAAGAGACTCGTACTCTGGAAAATGCGAAATGAGCTCAGAACGTTTAGCCAGCTCAAAATCTTCAAACTGGAAGGCAGGAGCACAGACGCATCCTACAAGAGAAAAGTGCTTCTCGGAATCCCTTGGTGCTTTTGTAACTGTATTTTTCCCGTCGGCAGAGACGTCAACGTCCTTGGTTGGAAATGCACCAAACCAAACACCTGGAGGTACCGCATACTGCAATAACTGATTCTCTGTTGTAATATCGGGTCCGAGACAGGTTAGTTTAGCACTCCCATCCTTATCATTTAATTCTAGCACCTGACAGATAAAAATTGGCATCAAAGATTAAAGAATAAGCAATTCCAACAGAATATATGGCTGTTTCCATCTATATAGATACATGCGTTTGCCATAGATCTATTAGAGAAAAAATTTGACATCATCTTAATGGAGGTTCCGGTTCCAGGATGGGATGTTGTCTAGGAGAAACAAATGGTGCTAAACTAGTAGATACAATGAGATAATAAAGGAAACATGGAAGTCTTAAAATTTGAAATAATAATTTGATCTTAATCCACTACGCAGGTACAGTGAAAAGATAAATCGAGGTTATATATTCTCAGTCCCAAGCACTAGAATGCGCACAAAACCCAGTCAGAATAGATCAGAACAAATTTTCACTAGGTTCTTTTACACATGTTGATCACTGTTCAAATAAACTATACTTCATATGAACTACATTTTTATTTCTTAATAATCCTATTAAAACATGACTTTTCACAAAAATGAAGCAGCCACTCGCTAAACAAGAAGGGTCATGGAAAAGCTCAATCGAAATTTGCTGATGATTATGTCATAGCCAGAGAAAAAGCTGACAGGAATATGAAAAATGGATGATGATATGAAAACACAATTACACTGATAAGCTTTTGAGTGTATCCAATACATGGTAATCAAACTAGGTGAAGAAAAGAACATTTGAAATTGAATACGTTGAATAGGAATCTAACTGTGGGAATGTAGATCACCTCTCAAGGTAAATTTTTAACGTGTAATAATAATCAATCAGATGTTACCGTGATAGGTTCTCCCAAGTAAAAATGCCATGTTTCTGCACACGGGATGCAGTGAAGGTGAGAAATGCTTCCAGAAGGTAACAAGAAGTATATGCTTGTACTGACTGGTCGATCAACCTTGTCTGTGGAGAAAGTAAAATCAAGATTTGGAGAAAGCTATAACAGACACTAAAATATAATTCTGCAGTTCAATACAGTTATGCCTTGGTATTGCAATATGTTGTAATAAATATTATTTCTTTTTTCTATGCTGAATTGCTGTCAGCATTCTGATGGCAGAGCACCGTGAAAGTATGGCTACCATTTGATATCATCATATCAATGCTAGGCAAAGTTCTAAAAACTACATGTTGTGTCATAGAGACAAATTTACCCCTCTCAATTGTACCATGTGATACATTATATTTTCGTTCCTACATGAGTAATACGTTAACCTCATAGACAAAATTTCTTGAGTAGTTAAACGAAACCTGAAGCAATATTAGCCACATATTTCTTCTCTATCCTAAGGACTTCTTTTTGACAAATTCCTCTCACATTAATGGAACACAATCCTTGATGCCCAATTATCTTCAGGTAGAAATCATAGGCAATCTTCGAATTTATCTTTTCACATATATAAATGCCACAACATCAAGTTTACAAAGATATATATTTTATCATTTTCCCCTTTAGTTTCTTATATTTGTACAAAGCAACTATTTTGAACGATGCAAATTAATATCTGCCATTTATCCAGCTTCAGTTATTTGGTCTTGTTGCATAAACACTAACAGTGGAGAACAAGTCTACAGGGTAGCATCTAACGAGAACCATAAAACTATGTACAATAATGATCTACCTCTATCCGACATGAAGGTTTATATGCAGTTGTTGAGATTGAGTTGTGCTGGAAATTAACAACACCAGTAGCATTGAAACCAGATGCAATCTTTTGACATATTCCAGAAAAAAAAATAACAATTAATAAATAATCCAGACCTAGATCCCAGTCCAAAAACCCCAAGTGTTTTAATTTTAACACAAATAGAACAAATCTAATTAGAAGCTTACATTGAGGGGGAAGATGGGATTTGGAGAGAATAACAGAGCTGTCCCTGAATGTTTCCGTATAAAACCCACCTTCTGGGTGGGGCTTCAGATTCAACTTCGCTACAATCTCTGATTTTGTGACCATTTTGAAGCCTACAACAGAGGTTATGTGCTCGTCAATTATTATCGATTTGTAAAACAAGAAGCCTCTCTCTATCTCTGTATACTTTTTTATTTATTGGAATAGAGCGTGCTTGCAGCATTCGTTGTCATTTGGTCGTTTATCTTTATAATATAAGCATATTGGTCATTAACGTTTCAATTTTAGTTGCAATCATGAAATTGTGGACAATTAATTTTTTATTAAAAAAAAAAAAAAAGCAAATTTAGCCCATGTTTGAGCTCCATCTCTTTAAAACTTATTTTTTCCAAACTCGTTTTCAATTACAAATTCTCCAATAAAATAATTTTACATTTAAATCTAAAATTTTTTTCTATTTTCCAGTCACACATTTGCTTTTACAAAATTCATTTCTTTCCCAAAAATGGAATTCAAACAGAGGGTTAATGTTATAAAACAATTCGAGTAGAGTCAATGAAGAATTCATAATATTATTTATTTTTTCAATTAAGGTTTGGTGGTGGCAGTTTCCAAACTATTATCGAAATCGAATTTTTCAAATCCAAAAACAATTCACATGGATATTATTCATTTAAAGTCAAGTGCAATTAAGCTTTAATTGGCCGTTGGTATATATTAGTAAACATAATTGTTTTTAAAGTCGTGATATGAGACAAGTGTTCTATCATTATTTTATTGACTATGACATTTTTTACTGTCTACATAATAATCAAAGATAATGGATGGGACACGCTCTTTTTCATTAGTCATTGCTATCGTCACAAAATATTATCTTCATCTACACTACTTTAAAAGAGAGAATCAGTTGGTTACTAGTTATTTTAGTGGCCGGCTTTTCACACTTGAAATGATGCAAACCGGCTATAAACTCTAGCTGTTACGCTTTTTCTATAACGTAAATATATTGCAAGTGAACAATGTCAAAGTTTTGTAATATAACTATAGAATTAGAATGTCGCATCCACGGGATTAAAAAAATAAATTCTTACTAATTATTATAATTGAATAATTTTTATTTTATCTAGAAAATCAAATTGCAAGAACAATGTTTTATCTAATTCTAATGTGATTATTATGACGAAATCAACAAATGAATACAATTTAGAAGAATGAATCAATAAAAGAAAGCACTAGGTCATGACTTCACATGAATATCAATTACATTTCTCAATTATATAGTATCTCCGATCAATTTTTTCAAGTTTATAAGTAAGGACATAACGAAACTCTACTAACTCTCTCAGGTGCCGAGTAAACTTTATTTCTGAAATTCAATTCCAATATCTCTATTCTATATTAAAATCCAAGAATGATCAAATTTTATGGTTCTTATGTGGAACAGTTTCAAAAAAATTATACTTTCTCCCGAAATCTATACTTTTCTTAGTTGTGTTATTCTAAGATCAAGTCTAAGTTTTCGTCTCTCAAGTGTTGAAACATAAAAAAAAAAAAAAACAATTCATTCAACTAATAGCTAGTTAATCGAAAGTATGGAGAATAAACAATTCAAGTGGATATTATTCATTTTCAGTTCGACAGCAAGTCAAGTGCAATTAAGCTTTAATCTGCCATTGGTACGTATTAGTAAATATAATTGTTTCTAAAGTCGTGGTATAAAACAGATGTTCTATCATTATTTTATTGACTATGACTTTTTTGTTTGTCTACATAATAATCAAAGAAAATGGATAGGATGCTTTTATTTATTTATTTATTTATTTATTTATTATTATTATTATTATTATTATTATTATTATTATTATTATTATTATTATTATTATTATTATATTAGTCATTGCCGTAGTCACAAAACATTATCTATCTATCTATCTATCTATCTATATCTACTTTTACACTACCTTAAAAAGAGAGAATCAGCTGGTTACTAGTTATTTTGGTGACTGGCCTTTCTCACATGAAATCATGGAAATTGGTTCTGAACTGTAGCTATTACCCATATTCTATAATGTAAATATATCACAAGTGAACAGTGTTAAGTTTTGTAATATAACTATGGAGTTCGGATTTCGAACTACTGGGATTGAAAGTTAAATTCTTACTAAATATTATAATTGAATAGCTTTTATTTTATTTAGAAAATCAAATTATAAGATCAATGTTTTATTAACTCTAATGGGATTGCAATTTAGAAGAATGAATCAATATAAGAAAGTTTAGGGCCGTGACTTCACCTAACTGTCAATTATGTTTCTCAATTGTATGGTTATCTCCAATCAATTCTTTCAAATTCATAAGCAAGAACCGTAATGTAACTATGCTTACTATTTGAGGGCTGAGTAAAAATTATTCCTGAAATTCAATTCCAATATCTCTATTTTAAATTAAAATTCAAGAATTATCAAATTTTATGGTTCTTAAGTGGAACTGTTTCAAAGGAATTATACTTTCTCTCAAAACCTATATTTTTCTATGTTGTGTTATTCTAAAAAGTCTAAGTTTCTCTCTCGAGTGCTGAAAATTAAACAATCAATTCATTTAATTAGTGACCAAAAGTACGGAGAATAAGCAACATAAATAAACAGAATGAAAAATTTTAAAGAAAAAACTAATTAAAATCAAAATATAATCTCAAATTTTGGTTTCATCAAACCCTAGATAGAAGTATTAGTTCATGATAGATGAAAAAAAGAAAATATCAAATTCAAAATAAAAAACATATAGAGAAGAAAAGAGAGAAAAACTATCTTTTTAAAGTTGATTCGATCTTTTCTTGATGTTCTTCTTGACCTCTTGATTAATTTGTTGCTCTTTTTGTCTCGATGAACTGTAGTTTAGAAGTCCTTTATAGATCGTATTTATGCTTTTTCCAAGCGCTATACGAGTTTTAGTCTAATTGGGCTTTTCCATTCTAGACCAAATATTTGTTAAGGGAATTTGTGTCTTTTTTTTTTTTTATTATACAACAAAATTTAATTATTATTGTTGTTCTTCTTTTTCTTCTTCTTCTACTTCTTATGGTTGTTGTTGCACTATATTTAATAAATTTATTAATACATTCAATATTTTCGTTAACTAAATGTAATTATTTATTTACTAATTTATATAGTAATAAAATAAATAAATAAATAAATATTTTTGAAACAAATAAATTGTTAAGAATAAAAAAATGAAGAAAATAATGAAAAACTATTCATCTTGTGAAACTTTTGATCGTATTGAGTTGGATATAATTTTTAGTTTTAAGCAATATTTGGTGCAAAATGATATAAAATTTATCACAAGTTTCGATGCGGAATTGGAGATTTAGAACTTCGAGTTTATTTTGATGGACAGTGAACTTTGCACCATGTCATGATTTACTCATCGATGGACATTGAACTTTGCACCATGTCACGATTTACTCACCGAACTTCATGCGTCCTTGGGCATTGAACTTCACTTTGTCCCACTTCATCGCTCACTTGATACAATTTGTTAATAGATCTATATACATAGCGTATGAAAAAAATGAGATGGCTAGTTCAATGTCTTCAAATGGTAAGTGAAGTGCTAAATTAGCTCCATGTCAACAATTACCAAAAAAACCCTTTATAAAAATAAGAAATCAAACACGCATTTTTCCTCACAACGTCAATTGAAGGTGAAATTCATTCATTTGCAATGAAGTCAAAATCCCCAATGTCCAGCCCCAATCCCTAAGGCTAATCTATTGATTTTGCCCAAAATTTCAACTACTACTGCACTAGAAGTGATTTCAATTGCACAAAATATTTACTTTGTGGCTAATAATTGATATGGAGTTGGTTTTGGCCATTGATGCACAGTTTTCAACCTCAAGGAGTTCTAGTAATGTGGAGAATCGAAATGGGATATGATTTTACAATTTACATGTTGTGATTTTAATTTCTTGCAGTGCAATGTCAATATTAAGAAGGAGTACTTTTTAAAATGGTCACGTCAACATGGCCATTTTCACTTTAACTAAAAATATTTTACCATTCATCACAATGACATTTTCATGCGTAAAAGACAAAATTACCCTTATGCATGTTACACGACGACAAAATATGGTATTGTTTTAAGAGACAATATTATCCTTTTAAGTTATAAAGAATTCCAAATACTTTCGACTTAAAATTTTAAAATCAAGTCACATTTTTTATCTGTTTACTCCAATACGGATAAAAATTATTTCATTTTTCATCTGTTTCAATCTTGAAATTTCATAAATTTATCAAACACTCAATAAAAATATTGTTTTTAGCCATCACTTGGAATTGATAAGTATATTTACATATTTTTAATTTCATTTTTTTTTAAATTAGTAAATTATTTTAATCGTTAAATTTTATTTCGATGTAGGCAGAAAATTTAACAAATCTATAATTTTTCAAAACAAAGGGGAGAAAAAATTAATTTGCATATACATTAACATCCGATTGGAAATAGTTGGCTCGTCGTTGGACTGATTGGAAAATTGATAGCCCAGACAGTTGGAACATCGGTTCTAGATGGCTGGAATCAACAATTTGGAAATCCACGGCCTAGCTGGCTAGAAACAATCAACCCAGTCGGCCTAGCCAATCCACTCTAATTTTCTTCCCATTTTTTATCTTCTAATTATATATATATTTTTAAAAAATTATGTTTCATAATGCAAATATGGAATCAACTGTAGTCCTGATTTGTTACTTTGGTGATGCGAACCCCGTAGCAATGGAAACTACGAAACCCACAACGAGATTGATGCGAAACCCAAGAACACCAATACTAACCCGGTTTTCGATTTTGAACCCCAAGAATTGAACCAAGAAACCTTAGATTAGCAAAGAACCTGAAACCCCTTGATTACAATTAAAAGAACCCACAATCCGATTGATTAGAACGCCACAAGAAGTTGAATCTTGATAAATTCCAAAATTATTCAAGAAGAACAAGAAATTGAAAGAACAATTCTCTCTCTATAATATTAAGTAAAAGTCAAAAGTTGTTACAATGAAAAGTATTCTCCTATTTATACTAAGGAGTAAAAAAGTCCAAAATCCATCAAATTGTGGTAATAATTTGATTTCATAAGAATTCTATTGAAACTAGGAAATTCGACCAAAATTAGAAAATTCGCCAATTTTTTAGCTTGTGCGGCCGCATGGTATAATTC